TCTCGTCACAAAAGAGTCTTTTATTCTGGCTATAAATTTTAGCTATCTGAAAAATTTTTGAACAAATTGCGTACGTGTGAAAGAAGAAGATGCAGTGATTTTCGTCAAGCTTTTAGCATTGAATGTGAAACAATATTTAGGACCAAGAACGTTTCCTTACAGCCAGTGGTTCTTCCATGATTAAACGAAACCGTAGCGTTTCACGCGAGGAAAATGCACGCAAAGAATCAGTGTTCTCGGAAGAAGATTGGACGATCTAAGCCAAACAAGAAGTTCTAAGTAAGAGGCGACCAGGCGGAGAACATTCTTAATCATGTAAATGGGAGGTTGTCTTAAAAGCTCTTTCGAATAATAGCGATGGTTCTAATGAAAGATCGTGGCTTCTAGATTCTACATCTTTTGCTAAAAGATTTACCAGATCGAACGAGTTCACATTAACTCCTTGCCTTCGAGTCTCACTCGTGACGCACTTAGAACTCAAATGTGACACATCTTACTCAAAGAAATACTCAAAACTTAGGTCCAACTGTAATTTGCATAATTAAGGATCGCTGAATATAAAATACTCACAACATTTTAATTTTTCTTGTTTTGTGATAATAGCTAAGAATGGTAGTTTTGACTAACACGTATGACAAAATGGATGGCAAGAGGTTAACCTCTTAAAGTTTAAGAGGTTAGGTTAGGTTTTAAGACTTGAACTGACAGGTTAAAAGAATACATTTTTATTAAGAAAAAAATTTTTAAAAACGATCAACGCAATGATGATTAGACTTAACTGAATCACTTATCAGACTTAATTGAGTTAACTATTAAGCTCGTAGCTGGAGATAATATTGATCTTATTGGTTTATACATCATTAGACCCATTGACGCATTGAGTTTTTGCCACAGCAGTAAAGTTGGTTTTCTTCGTAAAAATTGAGGATTCTAACCTATAATACCTCATATGTGCGGTACCTCATATATCCCACAAATATTTTTGGCCTTCTTAATTTCATATCTCGTAATTCAATATCGAACCAATCAATTTCTCCCAGAATCGCCCTCTGACAACTATAATATTAATTATACTAGACGCTAACTCACAACGCATCGTGCGACTGCCCAGGTACACATCAAATATTTGAACCATTAACCTAATGTAATCGACCAATTCTAGTTTCAGCTGTAAATAGAGGGTCATAAAAACACCATTCAATATGATACATCAGTACCTTAATAAACATGTTATTATTTTTTCCAAGTCTATTACTATTTTATCCCATTTTTCCCCAGTTTTGATTACACTGCATTGATTTTCATGAAACATGAAATTTACACATATGCTGCCAGTACTCATATGAGTAAAGTTTGTAACATGAAGAGATTATTATAACAAAAGATTTGTTCAATAAATTTGTATTCAAGCACCCTTTGTATTCGAGCACCTTTTTTCCAAAAAAATATTTGTGGGAACAAATGAGTTAAATGAGCCCTAAAAAACATTTTAAGCCTTAGTCAACATATACTAAACTTGGTAAAAACATTATAATTCTACACTTTATTTTAACCACATACATATGTACCATCTTCGCACCAGATTAAGTGTCTATAAAATATCTAAATGTTCAAAGTTCCCAGAGAACGTTTCGGCGCCATGAAAATACCACCACAGAAGAAAGAACGAGAGGCGTATACAAAATTCATAATCCCACGGTGTTATAATGTTCACCGGTATAGCAACGGTGTAGAAAGTCCTGGTATGCATAAAGTGTGGCGATGGGGTAGACGATGAGATCCTTCGCGAGGAGGGGGTTGTTTCTGGCCAGGGAAGGGAAATGTTATGACTCGAAGCAGCAGGAGACTGTAATGGATCGCCGTGAGCTGAACACGGCCCAAGCTGCATTTCCACTTTATAAATCACCATCCGTACTTGCTGAAAAATCGGAGAATGGCCGGTGGGAATAAACGGGGCTGATTTTTTCGCAAAATCATCCCTTCTTCCGCGATAATGGTTCGAAGAAGAGGATGATACGGAGGATGAATTTTATTCGGTAAAGGGATTGAAAAGGGAATGAAACGGTGATTTTGTGTATTTAGTGAATGAATGAATGCGGGGTGATGATGGAGGAAATATTTTATTATTGTATACTGTAGTGAATTTATGAGAAGTTGGGGGATGATGAGATTATCAGTTGATGAGATGACTGTATAAAGTTTTGATTTAAAATACTAGGTTAGTTTTCATTTAACCCTGTTTTAACTCTCTTTTCATTAATTCGACTGAACATTATCGTTAATATACTTCTAGCATGCAAATTGTATCGTACAATAAAAATTTGGTGAGTTCATTTTATTCAAAAATTAATTCTGAGGCTTCCTGTTCAGAACGTCCCAATTTATGCTACTTTATATACCTGAGATCTAGGTATGTGAAAATTTACATATGTGGAGATCTAGACATGTGGAGATTTACATATGTGAAGATCCAGGCATGTGGAGATGTACATATGTGGAGGAATACACATGTGGAGATCCAGGCATGTGGAAATTTAGGTATGTGGTGGTTTACATATGTGGAGATTTAGGTATGTGGTGGTTTACATATGTGGAGATCTGGTATGTGCAGATCTACATACGTGGAGATCTAGGTACGTGGAGATTTCGGTATGTGGTGGTCTACATATGTGGAGATCTAATATGTGCAGATCTACATATGTGGATATCTAGGTATGTCGAGATCTAGGTACGTGGAGATTCAGACATGTGGAGATCTAGTATGTGCAGATCTACATATGTGGAGATCTAGGTA